CTTATTATTATTATGTATCCCGTTCATCTTGCTGTGACTGTATGCGTAACATTATTTTACCCTATTTAGATTCACTGTAATTTTGCGATTATTATTTGTATTATAAGAAATGAGTGAAATTTTCAACTCATTGAATGAATTACTCACCAAACTAAATGGATCAAATGAATCAATTATTTCAAACAAATTACTTGACACATTAAAAATAATAGAAAATTGTGCCAGTTGTGCACAAAGATATAATTATTATTATTTACTTTATGAATCATTAAATGAACTAAAAAAGATTTCAGAAGAATTAGACAAGAAAAAAAAAATACTAGGGATTGGCTTCCAAGAGCTATAAACATTCACATGAAATCCATCTTGCTCACCAGACAACATTCCCCCGAGTGTGCAAGCTTTTCAAATCTATTTTCAACTTACAAAACAATTGTAATGTTCGACTATGTGTTTATTTAACAAATATATCACCACAACCATAATTGATTCATCCTTAATATATCACTTTTATGTTCAAAGCTGTTCTTCAAGGCGAATACCTCATAAACATCAATATCACCACTAATATCAATGAGCATATTCTTATATTTGGTTGCTTTTGAATAATGTTCATAAAAAAAAAAGGATTGTTATTAAAAGTTCAGTAATATGCAAACAATACATAAATATAAAAGAGTATCACCTTACTATCAAACAAGTTTGCATAATTTTATTTAATAATTTACAAAATGAATCAAACTTATTTCTTGGTACATATTTTTTACAACTGGTACAATTTTCTATTACTTTTAATGTGTCAAGTAATTGATTTGAATTAATTGATTCATTTGACTCATTTAGTTTGGTGAGTAATTCATTTAATGAGTTGAAATTTTTTTCTTCATGACAACTATCACATAATGCTGTTTTATTTATTTCAACATCTAATTTATTTAATTCATCACATAATTTATGGATTATTTCTGCTTTCCTATCTTCATTTTCTTCCTTGTCTAATTCTTCTGAAATCTTTTTTAGTTCATTTAATGATTCATAAAATAAATAATAATAATTATATTTTTTTGTACAACTTGTACAATCTTCTATTATTTTTAATGTTTCAAACAATTTGTTTGAAAAATTTGATTCATTTGATTCATTTAATTTGATGAGTAATTCATATAATGGATTGAATGTATTCTTCTTTTGACACCCATAACATAATGTTATTCCAATTATTTTAACATCTAATTCATTTAATTGATGAATTATTTCTGTTTTCCTATCCTCATTTTCTTCTTTGTCTAATTCTTCTGAAATCTTTTTTAGTTTGTTTAATGATTCATATAATAAATAATAATAATTATATCTTTTTATACAACTGGTACAATCTTCTACTATTTTTAATGTGTCAAGTAATTTGTTTGAAATAATTGATTCATTTGATTCATTTAGTTTGGTGAGTAATTCATAATGTTCCAACAGTTAGCTTCATCACTTAATTTATGGATTATTTCTGCTTTCCTATCTTCATTTTCTTCCTTGTCTAATTCTTCTGAAATTTTTTTTAGTTCATTTAATGATTCATAAAATAAATAATAATAATTATATCTTTGTGTACAACTGGTACAATCTTCTATTATTTTTAATGTGTCAAGTGATTTGTTTGAAATAATTGATTCATTTGATTCATTTAGTTTGGTGAGTAATTCATATAATGGATTTAATATATTCTTCTTTTGACACCCATCACATAATACTATATTTATTTCAGCATCTAATTCATTTAATTCATTACCTAATTTATGGATTATTTCTGCTTCCCTATCTTCATTTTTTTCCTTGTCTAATTCTTCTGAAATCTTTTTTAATTTGTTTAATGATTCATAAAATAAATCAAAATAATTTTTTTGTGCATATTCTTTACAATTGATACAATTTTCTATTATTTTTAATGCGTTGAGTAATTTGTTTAAATTAATCAGTTCATTTGATTCATTTAGTTTGGTGAGTAATTCATTAAATGAGTTGAAAATTCCACTCATTTTTTATAATACAAATAATAAAATAATTTTACGCATACAGCCACAGATGAACGGGATACATAATAATAATTAAGAAAATTTTACTTACTTTGCCATAACGGATTTTTATGTTTTTTATACGTCAAGCAAAAATTTTAAAACCCCATCATGACAAGAATTTAATTATAGTTTGCTGTGGCAAGGTTTGACTGTATTATTGTGATCGATCATCTTTAAATAAACTTAATTTTTTGTTCACTATATTTCTTAAGATTTGCTTTGAACAATGGATATATCCAGCAAGTGGGATTCCTATTTAACGAAACATTGCCCGACCAGTATTGTTTACCAACATTGTTTAGAAAAGGATGACTTCCCTTTTTCATTTCAAAAGGATGCAGATAAACTAAAAAAAGTTCTAATCCCTACAGAAAAATACTAACTCAGAAAGAATTTCAAACGATTAAAGTAAAAATTTGAGGAAAGTATTTTTGTAATGTATGACCAGCAGGCAGTATAGAAGGTATCCAGAGTCCTGAGGAAGGATCAATTTCACATAACTACGATGGGCTTCTGCTTGTAGCCTGCTTTGTGATTTGCTTGTTCATCATGGCCTGTTTTTCTTTGTCACATTACATCTCAGTGCTCAAAATATTATTATTTCTTTTAATCGCTGAGCCAAATGTCAGGATGTTGACGAATGCTGGAACTATATTGAAAGTGCATGAACTTGAAAGAGAGAAGAGATTACATCTGGATGAAGCTAACTGTTGGAACATTTCATTCTTGTCTATTATTTATATAATGTGGCTAATAATGATTTCTGGAGATGA